TGAAGATATGCCCAGCCAACAATCGGGGCGGTTGAGAAAACAGACTAGCTTGCTAGAAAACAAGCATCCGGGGAACATAAGGCATTATGTAATGTGATAATCATACGTGTCGTTGCCGTGACGCTTATACATATTTGATGTCTGTAGGCAACTGTCGTCGAGGCAGCTTGACTCGATTGTTTCCAAAATCGCAGGGGGCGGCTTCGTTGAGGAAAAAAGTTGCTGACGGGCAAGTCTTACCCCGATGACCAGCCCAATGACACTAAAATCTCGGTGGCTCTCGCACCAATTAATCTAGTAAGATACTAATCCCCACGGCCCCCTATACCCACGGATCGGCGGGAAGGGGGGGGGAAAGAACAATGGGGAGGAGATACTCAAGTTTCGAATTCGTACCACGGCTTTGAGGCAATCGCTTGTGACACTGCACCGAAATACTTTAATTATCAAAACAAAATACGGTACGTCGATTGATCAAGCGGTGCGAAGTGTCAATCTGGCAACCAGGCTGTTTTGCCCGAGCGACCAGTGCTGATTGTTACGCTCAATTGGTCGAGGTTGGAAGGGATTCCGAAACGAGCCGCGCAGCTCATCTTACGAAATTGCTGGCAACAAAGCCCTCCTCATAACCTAGAAGCAGTACTTTCATTGCGTTGGGGGCGTGGCCAAATATCCTCCAAATTCCTTCAGCGAGGAATTAGTTGCCGCTCAACCCTTGCAGACAATTCTTCTCCTTCGAAAAGTGTCCTCCGTGTGAAGCACTTCCGATTCGCGCAATTGGATACCTCGAGCGAAGGTTCAACCAGAAAAATTGACACTACATCGCAAGTAACTGGTCAACCTCGCCGGCGACATCCAACAAAGAGTGGGTGATCTGCGGGAGCAAACAGCCTGTACGTGTCAGAAAACTAACGGACGGGCCTGCATTTGGAATGCTTCACTCGCTGAGTCTGACGATCGTCCTGCCAGTCTCCGCCTAGAGATCTCGACTGACCTTCTATCATTACTCTCGACGGGGGGTGACGATCTGTCGCGAGTACTTCTACTTGAGCGAAGCATAGCGCGGAGTTTCCGACGGAGCAAACGCATCTCCATGGGGAGTAAGCTCCCCAATTCCCCGCAAGTCACCAGAGAACGCGGCTCCTTTCCTATCAATGAGGGCGGCTCCGGGAAAACGAGAGATCCTCGAACGAAAACTCCTCGCGCTGCCGATCCCTCCCTCCACAACTCCATAGAACGCTTTGATATACCGCCACACCGACCATCGCTCGGTTCCGTATCTTATCTTCTTCTTCCTCCAATTTCCCGCCACCATAGCTTGCCGTTGTTTTGCTTTTATTTTCGTCCCCGGGCTACGGTGAATTGTGGCTGTCTCGGAAGCTGCGCTTAGCACAGCATAATTCTTCCTCCGACGCCTACCTCGCTGTCGATCACATGGGACATTTATTGATTTCCTACAGCTGAGCATCAGTCCAGCTGCCCGCTCGGTGGGCCAAGAGCAGAACCGTCTGACTCCGATGAACGCTGTGATGATCATTCGATTGTCGTTCGATCTGTGATCTTTAGTCGACCTGGGTTTATGGCGGATGATCGTGTCGACAGACTGACTGACTAGCTTCCACATCGAAGCGATTTCTTCCGCACTGGGATCGACTGATATGAGAAGGAAAACGTACTATACCGTCAAAAGACAACACCTGAGACACATGTAACATTAGAACAAAACACGCAGCGAATATTGTGAAAGCCGACTGGACTTGATGTCGGCGGCCTCAGGACAATGAAAACCGGGACCACACAACTTCGTTCCTCTCTTCCCCCTAGTAAGCGACTGCGCACTTCAACCTCACTCATCATGAGCGGATGAAGATGGGACCGAGAGATTCTGTGCGGATGATGGAGGTATTATTTTCGACGCTGACGACGAAATGGACATGGAACGAGCAAACTTGTGAACTCGCTGTCATCGGGGCGAATCGCTCGGACCATTGCTTTGTCTGGCGAGCTCTGGTCCTCATTGACCACGATATCGATTCTGATTCGTCATTGTATTTCCACGTGAGGTGCGATGGACGACCGAAATATTCTTGATTGAGCCGCGATTTTGCCTAGGCTCGTTGCTCAAGCCTCGCGGCGTGCAAACACGATTCGATCTGATGATGATTGTTGACTGAAATGCTGGCGGAGCGAGCGAGCACCACTTACGGCACCATTTAAAGGAACCGCGCCCTAGCCGCAAAGCGATAGATTTATTGCTGATCCTTCAATATCGCATCGAAGAGCGAACCACTTCTTTGTTTTGCGTTTCTCGTCGGTGGTATGTCGCATCGAGAATCTCATCGCTGCGGGAGTATTGTGCTACAGTGAATTTCGTACGGTCGCGACTCGAGTCGTCAGTGACCGGCAGCGGCTTAATCGAGGGAAGGTTCGGGCTTCCATTCTCCAGTGAAAGCTGGAGCAATAATTGGAGACAGAGGCGGGAGCCTGCCGTTATCGTGGGAAGGCACTTCGTTCGTCGAAGTCTCATGCGATGCTTGCTCTGAACGTACAAAGTAAGCGTCAAAGGGGCACGAGGGGTGCATTTGAAATGCATGATTTGAGAAGACAAAGCATCACCCGAGAAACATCGCATAGCAAACCAGCTACTTCCGTATAGAACGCGAACATCATTTCTTCAACAACAATGAGTTTGCTCCTGATCGCATCACCATTAGCCTGAACCGAAGCAACCCCACTAGTGAATTGACTTGAGCTGTTGTACGCTGACCCTCGGCGCGTTCGTTGGCGACGCGTCTAGCGCTGGCTCGCGATGACACAAGCACGGTGAGCGTACACGAACAGGACCACAATACAGAAGCTGTGTTCAAAACGAATCTGACACCGCAAGGTTGTTCGCGAGCCCGCGGAAAAGGTGCTCGTGGAGTCTGTCGAATCCCGGCGTAGAGATCCTTGTGTGTCGGGTAAAGATCCTCGACCGCCGAGATATTTTCCGCTGGAAGCATCTTCGGAGGTTCATAATTGGAAGCTTCGAAACCAAGCGCCACAACGGGTTTCACTCGAAGCAGTGTGAGAACTTGCACCGTCAGTGTTCGCAACAATGCCCGGCTCTCCACAGTGAGATAGTGTTATTTGTAATTCATTAGGAGAAATGTTACATTTTATTCTAGCGTCAGCTTGGCAAACTATTGTTTCATTAGCAAACATTTCTTGTTGACCTCTGCCATTTCCGAAAAGTGAAATGAAGCTACGGTCGTACCGAATCGGTTTTGTCACACTTTCACGTGTCCACACGGGGATGCTGCTCGTAGGATCGCGTTCCATTTTTCTTGGCATTCTAAGTTAAGCTCAGGTTACAAATTTGTTCAAAGAAGAATTCACACGTCCTAGGGGAATACTTCCCGAAGATTGCGTCGTTTATGATTGGCCCTTGAATGGGAGAAGAATACCGAATTGTTCCATCTGGGAATAGGAGATTCCGACCAAACACGTCTGGATCCATTCTTATTCGATGATGAAATGGATCAAACGCTTCCAAATGCGAACAAGCGACGCCTCTCCATCAAGATCAATTTATTGGGTGTGTTCACTTTGAAGATCATTTTGTCTGGGTGGTCAGATTGCAAAGCTGCCACTCAGTCAGTCGTTGGTTCATCCATTCAGCCAGTCACTCGCCTTCCTCGGCTGCATCCGTCGAGGTATTCAATATGAATTAGTCTCTACCACGGGTGAGCGTCCATTCAAACATGAGACCGGTCGAATTCAGCTGAATCCGGCTTTTAAGCCCGCCGACGGCTCTACCTCTCGGACCTTCGGCGTCGCTGAACTACTGGGTCCTTTGCCCTAACGTGTAAATCAATCTGGAGCTCCGCCCCGAAGATTCGAGAAAACCTAATCCCTCAATCGTAGGACGGTGAGAGTAAAGCCGGATCGTCCGATGAGGGCCGGATCGTCACTGAGAATCGGTTCAAGTCGACAACTGTCATCGAAAGTTTAGTCTGGTCACGAAAATCCAAACAAAAGCTCCGTAACACAAAAGAACTCCGCCGCGTGATGCAAGTTGGAAATACACACCAGCGTGAGCCGTGTCGTTTATTTATTCTATTCTTTTCCGTCTTGCATACGTATCAAATTACCGCGACCAGGCTGCAGTGGTCCGTTAGCAACTGACGTATACTGCACTGGAGCCGAAAGCTGGAGGCTCCAGAGACAATGCACGCAATATCAGTGAACAAAATTCACATAACAAATGGGAGCGGCAAGCTTAAATTCGGAGATCGCGAGACGGAGAATGGATGAGACCCTTAGGGTCCGCAACCCTTCTGACTGATAGCGGTCCCTCACTATCCAGTACAGCTCCATGGAAAGAGAGCGTAGTCGTATGTTCCCCGAGACAAAGACTCGTGATTTCTATTTCCGGACTTTCTCAACGCCTTTTGCGAATTCCTCGCTGTCGACTGTTCTGGCCGTCCCTCCCGAGTCATCGGCTCATACTTGAGTGCAATAATTATAATTGCAGTACCGAAACGTCGAATTACGGTGGCTGAAATAGCACTCCGCGTTTATCGATCGTCGGAGATGATGTGGTGTCATTAGATACAATTCGAATCCGCAGCACTTTGACCAGGCGACAGAACGCAAGAACCCGAGAACGATTTGTTCAAGCGATTCATACTTCGGTTGAATTCAATTCGTCGACCCCAGCAATCGCGATCAACTCTTTGAAACGCGCGAAAAATCATAGCGATTATTCGAATAAGGTCTACAAATCCATCAATCAGTCGGGCACCCTACGAATTCTATTCCGTCGAAGATCGAGGTGCAACCACCAATCACATGTCAATAGCGCGTCTGATTTGTGCTCTGACGCTTCAATTCAAAGGTCGGCCATCCCGACTCGGATCAAGACATGTGCGGGGCCACAACTCTCATGACTGAGGAACCAGCCACTGAATCGGTAACCTACAAGCGGAATCGCTCATCGACTTGAATCTTATACTCACTAAAATAGTTGAGCGTTTCCTCAATGAGTTCAGGAGCGAGGTCGATGGGCTCGTCTGGGGGGAGCAATGGGGCGTTGATCACCCAATCGGCGTTGTCGTATCCTGGAAGAGAAGAACGGTGAGAAATTGAAATAGAAAGAGATTTCGATCGGAATCCCGATAAACCATCGCTCCGATGCTCAAAAAAGCCTCCGATTATCAGAGCGACGGTCGCCGGGATAAACAAGTCTGGCCATTGTTTTCCGCGGAATACTTTTGGGTCTGAGACTTATGAATATATCTCATCAATCGATTTTTTTCTTCCATTTTCCCGTCCGTTCAAACAAAGAATCTTCTAATAATTGTAAACACCATGCGATCCCAGCCGGTGGAGGCACGCGGCCGGGGAAAGCCCTCAAAACTGTCTCGTTGAGCGGGCAGGTGATGAAGATTGAACTGAGACGCTTCACAAGGGTCTGATTCAGAGTTGCGAGCTCATTGTTTGTCTACCGGTCGGACGCGAGCCCCGCCATGTCCGAGCGCATGACGCCTCAACGGATTCTTCATTTTCTCTTTGTTCCAGTGCTTCGAATATTCGACCAAGTTCCGCGTCATAACGCTGTTCACCGGTGTGGCTCGCCATCGTGAACTGGAGCGATTCTTGTGCGGTATGAAAGCGCTCGTTATCTTGTATTCGTCGGACAGCAATCCGCTAATTGCTGGTTCTTATGCCCCATTTCAGGGAAACCGAAGTACGAATAGTCTTGCGCGGCTTGAGCCGACCGATAGAAAATTCATTAAGTTGACCCGATGGAGATTCGATCGATCGGGCAGAAACTCGAACCATTCCTTTGGACGACTGCTGCCAACAGAATTAAAAACAGCGGTCGCCGGGTTACGAACACACGAATTCAGCTTGAAGAGCGGCAGAACGACGAGCAAGTGCCGACTGTGAATCGACAACGACCGAGTCAATGAAATAGCGTGAAACGTGTCGTCGTTTACGTCGTCGCGTTGCTCCTTCGGCCAGCGACATCTCATGTAGGGGTCAAGAACGAGCATTGAGCCTCTGTTTCCGGATTCATTCAACGAGTTCATCTCCTCCAAGTGTATCAAACTAAAATGTTCGGGAAGGGTAGCGGGCCGGGCTCGTGAGCTGCTCGATTTAATGCGTCATTGTCTTCTTCGATTTCCTCGAGGCCGAGCGCTGTCGTCATGAGCAATAAGCAGTAGTTACGAATTGATCATCGAACGTTTCAATTCGATCGTTCGCGCGCACGACTGTACCACGGAATCGGCTGTGGACCGGACGTGAACTCCGAACCAATTCGGGTGAGGCTTCTCCTGATGACAATGGCCGATGGAAGAATGATTTTAATAACCCTGTGATTATTTCGAGCACCCCACAGATCGATCCCGAATCGAATTGAGCGACCCGAGGGAAAATGGGTGGAAGGTAATGGCAGGAAGCGTAGGAAGACTCTTCTCCGGCTTTGAAATCTGGACTGACACGACTGCTCGGTCAATGACAAACTCGAGTCGGGATATATAGTCAACAAATGGAGACGTCGGCGGATAGAACATGAGCCCTTCGTCGGAAGTTCAACGTGGGGAATTTCTGAAAAATGACAGGAATGGCCACCGCGGCTCTTGTATCGATCAAGCATCTATATATGGCTCGGAGGAACGTCATGAAATGTTCTCACGAAAAAATCGATGCACGATCCGAGAAATGCACAGTGCATATAATGGATTCGTAAAGGTCACCCGATGAAAAGCCAGAAAACGAGCCGTGAAGGGGGAATATTTGCGAGGAAAACAAATCATTCTTATTCCGGCGTGGTCACGGTGCACGGTTCTTGAATTATCTCTAAGAAATTTCATTCTCCGAACTCAGGCATCCATGAGTCCAGTACAGCCCTTCACATTTAGCAGAAAGATTCCGGATAATTAGTCATGAAAATACCTCCGTCTTAACAGATGAGGAAATCCAAACAAACGAAGAGCGATCACCAATGGTTCGCGGCTAGGTTCTCACGATGTTGGCAGAAAATTCGCATCGGCTCTCGCCACCCAATGTGCCTGATAAGCGTGAACGCTCGTACCCCGTGTATCGTTATCCCGCGTCAAGAATCAATCTGACGTCGACGGTGCATTCAGCCATTCTCGCTGCGGGGGAACAATTGTCGTCAGCGAAAACAGGACACGGATTTCACACACTACACTAGGGACGACCAGGCCATGGCGGCCAGTGCAAGGTGGGTCTTCTGTGGCGTAGCTTCTGATGTACACGGACAAATGAAAGGAAATTCTAATTGGCCACTTTCACTGGACCTCTACCCCCGAAACGGACAACGCTCAACAAGGGAGGGTCCGATGTGGCTTCCGAGGTCAAGTTCGTTTGCAGCGACTCGACAATCGTTAATACGTATGTCTCTAATTCTCAGTTAAACGGGGTGAAGATGGCAAGCCCCGGCGCTCCTCAAGACGACTAGGCCACGCGGTCAACTCAACTGCTGACGAGCGAAAGCGTTCCTATCTCTCTGGTTTCTTTCTCAAATCTCGACATCGAAAGATCTGATCCTTTAGGTATTCGCATCGAATCGTTCTCCCCGAGACTTGAGCTCTACGCTTGCCGAACCCGAATCTGCGTAGAAGGCTACCGTGATCATGATAGCGTTGGCTCAGCTTGGCTGTCCGATCGAATCACAACTCCTCCCTCGTGACCATTTTTGCGATCACATCTACCTTGACGTCTATTTTCATATCACAGAACAGCACAGCGCCGGGTATATGTCATTCGTACCCACCCGTTTCGTTGTCAAATTACCCGCTCGGTACGTCTATGGTACAAACTTACGGCTTCTTCGAACGGCTGCGGGCTCGTGGATGTAGACTACTTCCCATCCTACCTCCGTATACGGAGGCTCCTCGATTTCGACGTGGTCGGCCATTCAGAGAATCCGCGGAAGAGCGTCCGTTTTGACAACATTGGTTAGCGCAAACTCACGACTCACAAGAATACGAGAATAGTTCGTGTATCTCAGCCGTGGGTTCAAGAGAATCGCGAATAACATTATTTGGCTGCGGTGAGCACCGGACAGTGGTAACCGACGACACGCAGGAAGCGGAAAAGAGAGGGATATGGAGTCTGCAGTTTCCAGAGAGCATCTCCCTCTCCGGGCGACGGCAACGACTCATCTCTGGTCTGGAAGAACCTCCCAGGAACGAGGTAAACAATCCCGGCGTAGAGCACTGGATTCCGTGATTGGGGAAACAGAGCTGCCAAGTTCTCGGTCGGCTGCGATCTTCGCTATCATCATGCTTCGCTTCACATTTCTTTTGAATAGATAACGGATTGTCATCGATGGATGCTCGCTCAGCAGGATTCGTATCGGCGGGCCGGCTCGTCCGAATGGAGCCGGACGTAGAGACAGACTGTCCGCCGAGCCGAGGGTATTCTGAATGCACTTTTCCCTCGGAAACGTCGACAAGCTCGGACTCGTCCGGAGTCCGAGGCACTTGGGGTGGGCACGGAGGAATTATTCACAGCACTTGTCAGTCATCGTTTTACGGCGCTACCTCGGGATACGGATACCCAGCAAGAGGTGACCATGAGGAGCGGAACAGGCCGCATTGAGAACTGGCTCAACGTGGACACTCGACGGCCTCGCCCGTGAAGGAGCGAAAGGCGATCACGCACGCTGCCGTCGCCACGCCGAGACCTTGACTAGAATCAGCTCATTAGAAATGGCTGTATCGAGACTTTGAGAATCGTCTATTTCCCGAAGCATACTGCGTGGAAAATTTTCATCGGGGAAGAGTTCCTAGAAAACGCACGCCCGTAGGTTGGTTGGTAGCTAGGTTAGTAAGGGAAGTCCCGGTGTTACGTTGCACGGCATGTCCTCCGATTACAAAATGGAACTCCATGAAGGTCGCACGCCACTTCAACCTCGATTCGGTCTGCCAACAACCCGCCACTCCATCGCATGGAAGTCAAATTTAGCAGTTCTCCCTCAGGAGACCTACAACTAGGCTACAAAGCGAGTCGTGAGTACTAACGAGACTCGACTTCGGAACTTCAGACGGTTCACCGACCTGGAATCGACGCCAGGGTGCTGCTTGGGTTCCACTGAGCAGCTACTGCTTCAACAACTTGAGCGTATGGTACAAAATCGCGTGCGAACCCCGAGCAGGATTTCGGACGTTTGGGATCTGCGATAATCGACGGGTCAGCGACGTTTCACTTTCTCTCCGGTACGACCAGGATGCTCCGACCTTACTCTACCCACGCTGAGCCATGGGTGGATGTGGAGTCATCGCGGCGAACCGGCCAATTGCGGTCGACATCGCTCGACAATTGTTACCATCGCTTATTGGTCAGATCTCTTGCGCCGCAACGACTCTTCATAGCTCCTCATAACACAACAGAAAAGCTCCGGTCGAGGAGGCTGCTGCGGAACCAAATGTCGCCAGCGACTCCCAGCTAGCTCTAGGCCGAATCCGATCATATACCTACGGCGGTCTTGCTGATTTTCATTGATTCGGGTGAGGCGCACATTCACAATCGGCGAACTGCCTCCGCTTATCGGAGGAAAGAGTCAGTTTCTCTAAGCCGAGGAAGACCGCGTAAAGTCAGTAATTGTTAATTATGTTCAACGAGTAATTATTCACTGCGAACGCTGGCGTCGAGCATCCAAGCGCAGACGGCTGGGGGACGGACGGACGGACGGACGGACGGACAGGCTTTCGATTTTACGACGAATCGATCCGAAACAAATATAGCGACATGTAGGATGGCGAACGGAGGCGTTCGTAGTAGACGAGAGTTCTGCGATCCGTTAGCGAATGCGAGGTCTTCTCGTGGATCAGTGCACTGGACGACCAACGCTAATTTTTCCGAAGCCCATGGGTATAGTGTGCCTGTGAGAGAAGTTCATGGCATTCCCATGCGCAGCCGGAACAATATCCTCCCTTGGTATTTTTCTGCTCACGTAAACACTCAGTCAGGGTTTTTAGGTATAATGTGATATTAAAAGCCGTGATGGCTACGAAGAACCTTTCGGAAGCACGGACATGTCTCCGGAACGACTCAGCAAGCTCCACATGAGATGAAATCGGAT